CAAACGCATCGCGTTCGCACACCCCAAACCCAATTTGCTAAGATGATTGTTGTGGACCAAAAGTTTTTTGTGTAAATTATTTGTGGCGATATGTACTTTAGTGTAGTGTTTCTTGTTGTCAGCGCTAGCGACTGCTTCCCCGCTTCTATGTAACCAAATTAACTCTTCGAAATATCGTGGCGATCGGTTAAATCGAGATGGCGGAGTTTTCAACTAAGATACACATGTGTTTTACATGGAACTCTAACAAGTGTCTAAGACTGCCGCATATTTTCATGCCTATGTTTCGCTCATCCAGCATCCTAGTGTCTGCTAGCATTTAGGGCCTGGTCCTCCACGTCGAGTTCCTCGCTATCATGTAATCTTTACTTTGTATCGACTTCCAAATGCCCCAAAACCCACCCAATGGCCAGATACCCCTCAACTTGAGACCCCAGTCCTTGTTGGCCATTTCCGTATACTTCTCAACATCTACGTGCACCTTGTCATAGACTTCTGGAAGCATCTCGGCGTTGTATTTCTTTCTCAGTCCTTGATGCCATTTGTGATCGAATTGGGACCAGAATTCTTCTCTGCTATAGTATGTTTGCGCGTACAACCACTTCATACCGCCCATCTCACCAAGTGTCTTCTCGAGAGCACGGTTCTTCTGAAGGTAGGTCGTGGGGTCGCTGGGCCCGAAACCCCACAGTCCGATATTAAGCATCTGGTCTGATTTAAGAGATCCCTTCGTATGCGGGTGCATGGTCGGTTGGGGACTTTGCTTGAGAGGGCAGAGCCACAGTGGCCAGATGTTGAATGTCTTGTCTGTGTACTCGATGAACTTCTCCGCATTCGGGTATGGCAGAGCCATGTCTTGTACAATGTAGCGTGTTGCGATTCCGGATGCATGCAAAGCTCGGTATAGCATGCGCGTGTGCAAGAAGTCGTCGAGGAACCATCGGGTGTATTTGTTGAAGGGAAAACGCATGTAGCTGAACGCAGATCGTCCGACCCAGAATCCGCCGCGGTCGTAGCGAAACATGTACTCAGCCAATGGTATGTATTCTATGACCGGCTCGTTGGAGTTTCGCGTTGCTGCTTCAACATGAAGATAGAACCACGGATCCGAGGGATTGCTAAATGTTTGCGGCTTGGTATTGGGTGGGAGTTCGTCGGTCATTTCGCCGGTGACTATAGCACCGTGATCTTTACTGAACAGCACGCCATCCACATAGTCATTTCTAGAACCTTTTTCGCCTTCGGTATGCTCCTTGACCTCTTTGATAGCCTGTGCCACATTGCGGGTAGGATAGTATGTAGTCTTGACATATTTTTTGGCCTCGACAAGATTTAGATCTACCAGAGTGGTGACACCGAGAGTGCCGACTGCACCAGCAGCGCCCCGAAACAGATCTTCATTCTCCTTTTCGCTTGCTTTCATTACTCTGCCATCGGCCATTACCATTTCCACTTCATTGATTGTCCGGTCAAAAAAGCCAAACTTGAAGCTACTACTCTCTCCTGCTGTTCCTGCATATCCTCCTCCTACAGTGATACCAGGGAACTCCATGACAACAGGCGGTACTAGACCATGTGGCAAAGTCGCTTCCACGAGTCGATCCATAGGGACATTGGGCTCCACCAGCGCTCTCTTGCTTTCCGTATCGACTTTTATGACATTTTTCAGAGCACTTATGTCAACGACATGTTTCTTGAGGTTTGGCCGTGTGCTATTTGTCGAGCCGTGTGAGATTCGGAATGGTTCTTTTCGTGTAAAGTAGTCCTTGACTTTAGACGCAACTTGCGCGACAACGCGCTGGTGACGGTCCATATCAAGATCTTTCGTGAGTTGAGATATCCAGCAATGCCGTTGTCATTGATACATGACAGTCACGTCCTCGTCGTGTGATTGGAGATGTTGTTTTGGTAGACTTTATCGGTGAGGTACAGATTTTCTCCGATGCGCTAAGCTTCGCTCGTCTAGCTTCAGTGTTTCTGGCCTGCGTCTTTCTTCCCCGAACTCGCAGATCTGATACATTTACTTCTTTTGGGTTTTTTGTCCTTTGTTTGTTATGCCCACGTCGCAAAGATCGTGCACAAGCCATGCTCTGCTCTGTGAAGACGGTTCACGTTGGCATGAATAAGCCCTGTACGAGACTTGCCGGGGCCGAAGTAGCACCTCTCCACCTCCACACCGTTCATTCCGTTTCTCGTCCTCGCTGAGCCGTGCCTGACCATACCCCTTTTGCCATTACCCAACGCTTGTTATCGTGATTTCCAACGGCCAGCCGCTCTAAGGTTACATCGGCTTTGCAGATTGCGGGGCGAAGCGACTTGACAGCATCTGCCAAGATACCTTGGCTATTCAATACAATAGAATAGTTTACCTGGGCCACCGCACTCACTATGACACCAGTGATTTCGCGTCAATGATGGTTTTCGTCGCGTCCTTGCTCCTACTACCTCCATTGGTTGTTGCGCTACAGCCCTTACCACCAATTTCACCAGTAGATAAGAGCAACAACGACCTCGGCTTCTCAGTCACTAAGCAAGGAACAAAAATATACATACAAAATGCTTTTGCTGATAAGAGAGATTCCAGTGGTCTTACGCTGATACCCCCCAGTGCTGAAGAGTTTGCAGAAACATTCCGCGCGGATTTGTCGTCGTTGTATGGTAGTCAATGGACCTTGGAGCGCGTCGATGAGCTTCCCACAACTGGCATCCTCCTCGGTCCATTTCGGGGTAACGCTGACCAACTGACCTATGAGAACGGCATCGCAACAGAAGAAGGATACGAGCTCGATGTTGCCAATGGCAGTATTTACATTGGCGGGAGTGGTGCACGAGGCATGTTTTGGGGTACTCGGACTGTACTACAGGAACTGCAGATCGGAAATGGATCTTTACCATCCGGAAACGTTGTTGACGCGCCTGCATATGCCACTCGTGGATATATGCTAGACGCAGGCCGGAAATGGTACGATAAGCATTTTCTCAAAGAGCTTTGCTCATACGCGTCGTTCTTCAAGATCTCAGAATTCCACTACCACTCGAGTGATAACTATCCCTTGAATCGTGGCCGCAACGAGACCTGGCAAGATGTGTTTTCGCACTTCTCGCTATATCCTGAGAAGAATGCAGAACTTAGAGGATTGATTCAGCGTCCTAACGAAACACTATCGCGCGCCGATTTCGAGGACTTCCAAAGCCATTGCGCACAGCGAGGTGTTACCGTTATTCCTGAAATTGAGGCTCCAGGCCATGCACTAGCAATCACCAAGTGGAAACCTGAGCTCGCCTTGAGTAAGAAGGATCTGCTAAACCTAAGCCATCCAGATGCAATTCCTACTGTAAAAGCCATCTGGTCAGAGTTTTTACCATGGTTTCAAACAAAAGAAGTACACATTGGTGCGGACGAGTACGACGCAGATCTAGCTGATGACTACATCAATTTCGTCAACGAGATGGCCGATTTCGTCAAAAATAGTTCCGACAAGGAAATCCGCATTTGGGGCACACATGAGCCATCAGAAAACTTTACCATTTCAAAAGATGTCATCACACAACACTGGCAATACGGCCAATCAGATCCAGTCTTGCTACAAAAAGACGGCTATCAAATCATCAACTCCGAAGATTGGTGGGCTTACATGAGTCTCAAGAACGACCACATGCCTATCTTACCAGCACCATACCCGCAGTTCTACAACGTCACACGTACGCTCAACTTCGCAGATGTGCCAGGTTGGCAGTGGGAACCGTCACTATACAACCCCTTCAACAAGACGGAACAGCTACAGCCTGGGGCTCAAGGCAACAAGGGCGCTATTCTAGCAGCTTGGAACGATAATGGTCCAGATGCAACGACGCAGTTGGAGGCTTACTACGCAATGCGGGAGGGTATCCCAGTTGTGGCAGCGCGCGCTTGGGCAGGCAATCGAGGCGCAAAGATCAACGTTGAAGAGCTACCAGACAGCCTATCATTTCTGGTAAGTATTAGCAAGAAGATAATTGCCAGCTACATATGCTAACACATAAATCTAAAGGCACCTTTAGCCCCAGGACAAAACCTCGATCGCCGACTCCCCGGCTCACAAACTCTCTCTACCCAAACGGCCTCTCCACTAGTATCCTGGACGCAGAAGCCATCTCAGTCCGCAAACTCCTCCTTAGAACTAGGTTCTTACGGCCCACCGTACACACTTACCCTTGATATCTCGTCGCCCTTTGCACTGTCTGGACCCGATACCTCACTCTCCACCAATACAAGCGGCAACATCACCACACTCGTCTTTACGACATCCGATGGCTTCCCATACCCCTTACGTCGCGTGTCTCCCAACGATGGCCATGAACCCGGTCACCCAGGCCGCATATGGACGAACCAGTCCACGTCTTCGCACGAGCCTGTTCCCATTAAGCTACCTGCAAAGTTGCGTATCGAGACTGATGTAGTGAATGGCAGTCACGTATGGATTAACGATGCATTTGCGGGCCGCTTTGAGGTGTTTGTGTTTGGTGGGCGCAATACGCTGTTTAGCTGGAGTCAGATGGCGCTTGTGGCGCCGTTGGAGAGTGTACAGGGAGGTGTTGATAAGTTGGTATTGGAGGCTGGGGTTGGGAATGGTGTGGCTCAGCAAGGCAATGGAAGTCAGACAGTGCCGTCGTTTACAGGTGGCGCGGAGCGACAGGCTGCATTTAGTGGAGGGGTTTTGGTCACAGCGGTTGGTGTAATAATGGCGCTGATTGTCTTTTGAAGATATTATACAAGGATGTGCATCGATTGTGAGAATACTGTTTAATGATTTTTCTTCATCATCAAACATAGTGGAGGTATGAAGCAGAGTAATACGAGACTCCTTGAAGTTTAGAGGGATAAAGCACGGATTTGAAAAAGTATCTTACCCTCTCAATCATGCGAACGGAGAAGGTCGTGGTATTTAACATTGTTTCTGTATTCGTAGTTCAAGCGAGATGCGACAAATCTAGAATTATTCCAACGTTGAAATTCCGTCTCAATACGTCGCAGTCAATCTTTGCACCAAGTAATCTCCACTCAGGACATCCCCATATTTTCTTCCATCATTCTCAAATGTCCCGGGAATAGCTTCAATCTTGCGGTCATAGTTTGGATTGCAAAAGTAAGCTATCGAGTATCGTGGTGGATACTCGTCCTTGTCGGCATCCTCTGGCTTTGGTGGCGGCTCTACAACGCGGTGCTTGGTTGACTTGATGGTGTCATTGGACCAGCGCGCGAGTAGGTCACCAGCATTGACTACGATGGTTCCTTCGATGGGTGTCGCGTTGACAAAGGTGCCCTTTGGTGAGCGGACTTGGAGTCCGCCGCGAGAATCTTGAAAAAGAAGGGTCACCGAGCCTGGGTTTTTGTCAGCAACTATTTTGATAAATTTTAAGGTAGGGATTCGTACCATAATCGCTGTGCTCTCCTGCGCGAACCTGCAACTGACCGTCATTCCTCTTGAAGACGCTCTTGGACACGCCCGGGTAATGAAGTAACCTCAACGTGTTGTCTCCGGCATCTGTGAAGCCATCGAACCACTTCTCGTCGATACCAATACCCAGCGCAATTGCGCGCATGACATGCATATGTAGGTTTTTGCAGGTCTCAAAGAAACCCATCATCTGTTCTTTGAATTCCTTTGCTTCCTCGTCCCCGCTCGGCCACATGTTGGGAGTCTCTGGTTGATCGTCGCGCCCGATTTCCATGCTCTCTTTCAAATCTGGCACCAGGGCACGCATCTGCGCCTCGGTTCCTGTTTCTTCTAGAACAACGAGCTTTTCGCGCCCCTGTGTTACGTAGCCACGATTGGCGGCCGCCGAATACCATGCCAAGGCATCTTTCTGTTCTTTCGGCCTGGCGAAGAACTTGGCCGAGTGTGAGAAGACTGTTGAAACTGTAGATTGGGGGATGCCATGGTTCTTGAGATAGATGAAGCCGGCGTTCTGGAAGCCTTTCAGGACAGCGTCAGCAGTCTGCTTCTTGGCATTGGCGTCGCCAGAGAGGAATGCGGAGAAGTCGATGAGCTGTATGATGTTAGACGAAGGAAGCAGTTAGTCTTGTGCGAAAAGAAATACTGGAATTTCCAAGTCATCCTGCGAGACTGCAGAGTCAACAGTAATGCTCGCCATTGTGGTCGCTTGGTATGTTCTGTCTACTGGGCGGCTTGCTTGGGTGTATGTGGAGTTACAGCAGCACCATTGGTATATAGCTAGACCGGTATTTTGAAGGATTTGTGAGACGAAACTATCTATGAATCGGCCGTTTCCGCCGTGTCAGGTGCATCGTGAAATGCTTGGGAGTTGTAGGTGGGGTTGTTGCCACACAAGGAAGGTGCAGACGAGAGGCGATAAGGCTAATGGTGGGGTTGGTGGGACGACGACAAGACGCTCAACGTTACATCTTCATGTATCGTAAGTCTAATTTTTATGAATTCCGTCACCAAGTTGTTCGGATCCTGAGAGAACATGAGCAGAGATCCAGTTTGGATGCCTAGTCGTATCCTCACAACCTCAAGACATGCTACAAGGACAACAATTCTTGCTCTTCGTCCACTTTGAGCTTACCATATCACATTTCGTAAATAACTCAGAATAGTAGCACGCCCTTGATTGAATCTGGGAAGAAATAATGAAAGTCCTTTCATGAAACAATTGCAACACCAGGCACCCCCAGCCAGTAGCATCGCTGTTATGGTTGCAATACTGATAGCTGTTTCGAGAGACTGAGGAAACTGTCGGAATATCAACCGCCAGACACCCTTCCCTTGTTCGGAAGATACCCTTTTCATGGTGTAGATTCTCTTGTTCTGAGGTACTTCGTATTGCGCAATTCCCCTGCCTCAGTTATTGTAAAAGCTAGTGAATATGTATCCTGTTTCTTCCTGGATACCATACACAAGGCAACCGCCATTGATGAAAAGGGGGGGTGAGCGAGCGCAGAATGGAGTGATATCAACTGTCTTCTCAGTCCTAAACACAGCGCAAACAACAGTGTCGGAAAATGTAAGCAAGTAAGCTAATCCAGCACATAGACCTGGATGACTCGGGGCAAATCTCCTAACACGGGTGACTTTAGAATGAGATGTCGGCTCTCGAAAGAAAAAGAGCACAGAGAGGGTATGGAAAGGACGTTATAGAGGGGTCTACAGGCACGCTGGATGCAAGTGACGTGCGTAGCATGTCTGTGCGCCAGCCTAGTCCATGTACCATAGTGAAGGTGAGGGTGACAGACAGACTCTCGCCACGTCCGTTTGTACGAGCGTCCCGTGTTAACTCACTCTTACCCAGCCACAATAGCAAGTTGCCGAATCAATAATCACCGATTGCTATAATTCCAGATTGTCCGACTAACCCTGACGTCTATTCAATACCAACTCTCTTCAAATCACTACTATAATATTTTCTTTGTCACCTCATTCTACGAGATCTTGGCCAACATGCTCGAAAACCAAGCAGCAGTCGTTGATGCAAAGCTCGCCGAACCCAACGCTCTGGCTACTTCACAGGGCAAGAAGGAACCGGTACCTTTTCTATTCAAAGACAAGAACACACTGCTTCGAGAAAAGATTGGCGAAAACGAGAAATACAGAGATATCCTGATTCAGATAGTCAAGAGGCGTCTTGATGCTCTGTTGCCACCCGAAGCCAACCGCAAGGGTGCTGGAGAACATGCAGGCGAAGTGACAAACACCAACAACGCCAACCACCCAAGTAGCCTCCTTACCGCTAGTGCTCTAAGCAATCTTCCAGTAGATCCAGATCACCATAGACTCCTCCAGTCAGTTACCCCCAAAAAAACACTTCAGCACATCTCCTTACCATACCCAGCCTACCCCTCCCTCACCACTCCCTCTCCTCTCCTCCGAACTGTCCCCCAACAAAGCGAAATAAGTCCCATATCTTCAAGTAAGTTCCTCCAACCAAGACACACCCAAGCCTACCTTTCTCACCATACTCCCAGCCCACCACCCATCGACCGCGAACAGCAACGCCGCATCCGCATCCAAGAACGCGAGTACCTCACCGCCAAGCTGCGCATTGTGGAGTGGGAGCGAGAATAGTACTTGTGCATGTACAAACGCTTGCGCCCGCGCACCCATAAGGAACTCCCCAAGCAGTCTGGCGATGGGGTGCAGGGAGGTAAAGTCACGAAGGAAAAGGGAGACGTGAAACTTAAGCGGCGGAAGCACAAGGAATGGGAAAGGCTCGATCGAGAGGTCACCGAGAGTTTGCTTGAGAGGCTTGAGGTTAATCTTGTGATTCGCGAGGAGACGGATGATCAAGTCTGAAGAGGACTGTGCAGATTGATATGACTTGGAGCATGTATGGAGTATTGGCGCTGGTCCTTGGGTATTCTGCGATTGTTTGGAGGGGATAATGGAGGGATGACTATGTACTTGGGGATCACACATGCGTTGTGTGAGCATGAATGGAATCCGATGATGGGGTTCTAGGCTAGTATGCTGTAGGGTAGGTAGTACGGCATAACGGGCATGGAGTCATGTAATGTACTGATAGCACATGTATGGTAGTGCGTAGAGATGTAGCTTTAGCTGCATATTGCCCCAATCCCTCATTACTGTGACTTGCTCTGTTTGATATGTAGTAGTTGTCGAGTGACACCGGCGCTAACTGAAGACAGAAAACCACTCTCATCTTTGTATATGCAAATTGGATAGTTAGACCAGACATTCTCGAAAACAAATCAACTTGCACTATTTCTCGTTTTTAACACCGCTCAGACCAATCGATATATGCAACCGAAGCTGACATAACTGTTTAATTGGAGTTCGGTCCAACAACCATCGGTACATAGGGCCATAACGCAAACATATCCTCAACATTCCCACTCCCCAGCAAGCCGATCACCCGGGCTCTCGCACTCCCAGCGCCCCGAACCCCGAGAGTATTAAAACCAACGGGTAGTTCGGCCGCTCTACTGATGTCAACCCCGGCTGCACGAACGATTTTACGATGATGGCGAAGACATTGGCGCGGCATCGGGTGCTGGACCCTGAGATCGCAGCGCAACATGAGGAAAATGACGTCTTCGATGCGATTACTCCGGACACATGCGGCTTTTGGACACAATTTGCATGATATCTAACTACTTCGTTTCCCCATCATCTGCAATAACGGATTTCTTTGCATCGCATTTACATACGATTCCGCGGAATAACATATATACTTACTAGGTTGGCCCACGTGATACAGATATCCCATACAGTATACAACAGTACATCCATGAGCATGGGCAACACGCAATCAACGGTGCGCTATCTCGCGCCCGCATCGTTCATCTATGACTTTGCAGCGCAGCAATATGGCATTTTCTCCACGCCCAATATGATGGATATTCACAACCGGAACCTGGCTGCTTTCTCACCATACCCGTACTTCATCGGCGCCTTCTTCTTCCCCCAGCAAATCTTCCAGCTGGCGTGGTTGTGGAAGCTGTGGAAGCAGGATGGAAACGAGCAGGAGCGTGCCATGATGAATAAGTTCGCTTGGTGTTATAGTTTGGGTAATTTTTGTATCGGAAGTAAGTTTACCTTTGACTTGTCGAATGGTCGAGAAGGAAATGATGCTAACACGGGTGATAGCTTGGATGTTCTTCTGGAATGCGAATGACCTAGCGACTTCGAACATCTTTGTGATAATCAACACGCTGGCGCAGGTGGCCTACATCTCGACGATGCTCGAGCCGCTGGATACACGCTCAACACCCAACTTTCTCACGCATATTGTTGCGAAGACGTTTGCTGGTATTGGTGTGCTGGACCTCTTGCACAACACATCAGCCGCATACTATGTTGGTGTCGAGCCCAGCTCCCTCGTGCAGGTCGCGACGGGCATTGGTTTCGCCGCTGCGGCAAGCGTGAGCGACTGGATCTTTGGTGGCTGTCTGGTATACGATCTAGTCGCACTGTCTGTAGGACAAGAGGGCAGCTGGTCGAGGTTGCTGGGCGGATACGCAGCCATGACAGCGGGTATCGTGGGCTTCAGGAACTTTTTCTAGTAAGTATACTGATGTTGCTTTGGACAAATCGCATGCAGGGTCATGCTGACCGAGTGCAGTCCTCGATGGAAGGGCCAGACGCAAGGCGGATATTCGAAGATCGGAAGTGGCGGTGATGATGCTTAGACATGGGATAGTCACGCGGATGGAGGGGAAAAGCAGTACTTGACGATTCGATCCGATCCGATGCTAGGACATGTCATGTGTAGATTAATTCCTGTAATACTATAAGCAAATGGCAGGACGTGTTGCTGTCGCGTGTTAGGGTTCATCGCGGGCTTCTTGATGCCACATGTCCGCCAATCCATGGCGACATGACTTCCCGTATTGGGTAGAGGGACGCAGTTCTTGTTACGTTTCGGAGGGGGGATCTTAGTGGTGTTTATTAGTAGACGGGTGCACCATGGGGCCGATGGCGGAGGAGCCGCGGCCCATCTGCGCGCTATTGCAGCCATGGACCCCGTCGATCGTCGTTGATATCTCTGTAGGATGCGGCGATGCAGCTTCAAGTCGTGGAGTGGGAGCCATTCAGCATGTTGCGGGGCTGGAGTGGGCTGGCATGGCTGGGAATCAGATCCATGGCCAAGACCCCGCGAGCGGCGGCAAGCGGCAACAGGCAAGCCCAAGCGAGCTGAGATCGCGTGCCCACCCCCGGCCGCCTCGAGGACCCCGAGGTGGGTGGAGATAAGGCTTATCTTTCACTCATGACACTGTGACTGCTCCCGTTCAAGTCACACCTCTCCTGCGCCGTCCCGTCGTATCCCTTCCGCCTGGCCTAGCCGTAGCCAACGACGCTTGTCCTATTCTTTACCCCCGGCGTCAGTCATGCGAGCCCGTCGGAGATGCGCAGTTGGAGGCAAAGGGCTCTCTATGAGCCCGAGTGGGCCACGGATGACTGTTACAGCCTCCCCTTGTCCTCGATGTTGACCTCTCTTATCTTTCTGTCCTCGTGCTCTCTATTCCTTTCCACGTTTTGCAACAATTACTGTGCTTCGTTTTGCTACCGTAAACCACGTCTCGCGTCTTATCAGCAGCCCGTCGGATCCAACGACGTCATCGCGCCGACCACTGGAACGCCGACCTGTAACAGACGACTCCGTTAGGCGAGTCGCGAGAGTTTAGAGTTGCATATTCTCCTTGGGTCTTTGTGATTACTCGTCGCTGGTTGCATCTGTGCGCTGAATCCAGCCTCTGACCATTCCGCCCCCGCTGCCGAGGCGCGAAGAAGAGCGCAAAGAAGAAGCAAGTACAAGAGGAAGAACAGACCGGGAAACGCGTCCCAGATCCTAGATACAGGACCCAAAGCCTAAGAACTCTGCGCCACGCCCTCCGTCGACTTCCACCATACGTCTATGGCACCATGCCGCCCTACCTATCCCCCTTGCATATAGCGAAGCCCTCGTTACCGCCTAGCTGCGAACCTGCCAACGCGTTCCTCTACCACCTCTCAGCCACATTCCATACATGCATACCTACGAATCTCGCGCTCATATCGACGCTCCTTGGTACGTGCAGTATCGTATCGTGGCTATTCGCACAGCTACCGCAGATATATAAGAACCACAAACTCAAGTCAACTTCGGGGTTGAGTGCCTTTTTCCTGACGGAATGGCTCCTGGGTGACTTGACAAATCTGCTAGGGTGCCTGTTTACAGGGCAGGCATCTTGGCAGATCATTATTGCTGCATACTATGTTTTCGTGGACTGCTGCCTATGTGGGCAGTGGGTGTGGTATGAGATGCTCCACCACGGACGACCTCTACGCCCCATTTGGGGCCGATGGAGCAGTTCTCCAAGTAGCAATCCAGGAGCAGGTGGTTCTATGCACCAAGTTTTGGAAGGCATGGGTATAGGCAAGCCAGCGAGTACTGCGGATAAAAAAGACAACACCAAGGGAAGCACTCCGCAGGACGTACCACAATCAAACCAAAAGGACGTCTTCAGGATCCCCAACTTTGCGCGGTCTCCAAACCCAGCCAAAGAATCATGGCAAGGCACACCTCCGTCAAGCGCATCGCCAAACCCACACATCCGCCGCGTAGCAGCCTCAAGCCCACCCATGCCCTCGCCCAAAACAATCATCTACATAACCCTCCTCATCGCCGTCCTCACAAACCCCACAATCGCAAGGCCAATCTCGCCTTTCGCTCCCGGTCTCGCCCGTCCCCGTAGCATCGCCCACACTACAACCACCACCACAATCACAATCACATCCACCGACAGCACCGCCCTCGCCGGCAAAATCTTCTCCTGGATGAGCACCTTTCTGTACCTGGGCTCCCGCCTCCCCCAACTCTACATGAACCAAGTCCGCAAATCCACCGCCGGCCTCTCCCCCGCCCTCTTCGCTGCCGCCTTCTTCGGCAACCTCTTCTACTCCTCCTCCCTCGCCACAAACCCCTGTGCCTGGCGCGACTTCGCCCCGGGTGAAGGCGCCGGTTGGGTCGACCCCCAAGGTAGCAACCGTGAAAACTGGATCCTCCGTGCCTCCCCCTTTTTCCTCGGAGCCGCAGGCGTCCTCCTCATGGATGCAGCCGTAGGCCTCCAGTTCTGGTTCTTCGACGACGCAGTACCCCCGCGTGGTCGCTCCCAGTTCCCGCGTGACGACGAGGTCGTCATTACCATTGACGAGAATGGCAAGCTCATCCGTAAGAGTCTGCATTGGAGGCGCGTCAGTGGGTGGATGAGGGGTTGGGCCCCGGCTGTTAGTGTCGCTGCTACTCCCAATGTTAGTCGCGCTGTTACGCCTATGGATTCGCCCCGCGATGCTAGTCCGGCGGGTAGTGTGGGGAGTAGTCAAAGTAGCAGTAGTCAGAGTATCCCGATCAAAGGACGGGGCAATGCGTTGGATGAGGCCAGGGCGTTGTTGGGGACTAGTAGGCATGCTAGTCCCAGGAGTTATGGCGCCGTGGGTAGTCCCAGGTAGAGATACGAGAACGTAGTGCATAGTTTGTCTGCCTTTCTTTTTTTCTTTTTTACGTCGAGCATCACAAGCAATGTTGGACTTGACGGGTTTTTTCTTCACATCTTCAAGAGGCATATTGTTTTATCTTGCATTCATGCATCTTTTCGTAGGCGTTTTTTTTTCATGGGGGATTACACCATTTACATGGGGAAATGACTTTGGCATGATAACTTCTTATATACATTCGATAGAAAGAGAGCAAGTAGCATTTTGCAAGTATGCATTTTTACAAGCAAATTTTGCACCGTTCTTTATCACGTCTAATCAGCAACGACTCCTTTGTCTTTGTGAGAATAAGACTCTACCATTCCGATGATGAATATGTCTAAAGCTACAACTACAGATGTGCTAACTGAAAGAAAAGAAAATTTAAGACAGAATAGAGTCAAGAAGGGAAAAAGGGAAAACGCCGAGATCAAGCAAAACATGAGAGATGATGAAGAAGAAGAAAAACGGTAATTTGTCTAAGCAGCCAGAAACCCAGAGGACACCCCGGAAAACCCGCCACTACTACCTAGGTATCACACCCTTATACAAAGACATGACTACTTGTAATCGTACAGAGAAAGCCGGGAGGTGACGTATGTGTGTGTATGTGTGAATGTGTCTATACAGCATGGCAATCCTGCTTTTTTTTTGTGCGAGAAGAAAGAGAAAAAAACAACAACGTTTCGACGTTAGACCGCTCAGCAGCTCTAAACACGCGAGACGTCACGGCCAAAGATCTTGGCCTTTGCCCAGTCAAGCATGACCAATATCCTGTTGCGGGTGCTGAAGCACATGCTGAGATAGGCAGAGCGCCAGAAAATGTAGGTAATGGTACCACCCGAAGCAATGTTGCCCGCAAACCATGAGATATCGGCAACAGCCTTCTCGGAGCCGATGTAGGCCAGCGAACCCTGGTGAGAGTACTCAAATGGACCAATCGACTTGATTCTCCTCAGTCTTTGCTGCAGAGCCTTGATCTCACCAAAGACCTTGTCGCGAGCCTCCTTGCCGGGAGCCTTTTCTTGGGCAACGGACAGCTCGGCAAGCTGACCCTCGATCTCAGCAGTCTTGGCCATGTTGTTGAACATGCGGGCGAGGAAAGCACCCTCTTGAGCGGCAACCTGAGCAGTAGGGGCGTAATTGGCGACGGCGCAGTCACCAACGGCCCAGACGTTCTCGGTACCCTTGACAACAAGGTACTCGTTGACGGCAAGACCACGGCGCGAGTCTTTTTGAGCGGGGATCTGGTTGATCAAGTCCTTGACAATGGGACGGAGAGCGTTACCGGTGGCCCAGACAAGGAGACCGTATGGGATCCTCTCGAGCTGCTTCTTTCCATCAGGGCCGGTCGACTCAGCCTCAATGTACTTGTCCGTTACGTTCTTGACCATGGTCTTTGTGCGGATATCGATGGTCTCCTCCTTGAATGTCTTCTCCGTGTAGTCGATGAGCTGCTTGGAGAACATGGGAAGGACGTTGGGAAGCGCCTCGACGAGGGTAACCTTGAAGTTGTCCTGGATCTCAGGCAACCACTTCTTCAGATCCGAGTGGAAGAAGTCCTGGAGTTCTCCGGCAAACTCGACACCAGTGGGACCACCACCGACAACGACCATGTGAAGCAGACGCTTCTTCTCCTCTTCAGACTGATCCTTGAATGTAGCCGTCTCGCAGCAATCCATGATACGGTTTCGGATGCGCTGGGCATCGCCAACCTCCTTCAAGAAAAGACCGTGTTCCTTGACACCAGGGATACCTAAGTCAATTGTTAGCCAATAGTCGGGCTTGACACAGCAACCAGCGTACCAAAAGTGGCGTTCTCAGCACCGACACCAACAACCAGCATGTCAAAGGGAACCTCGGTCTTGGAGACATCGCCCTTGATATCCGAGTCGTCGCTGATGTAGACGACCTTCTTTTCGTAGTCAATCTTGGTGGCCTCTGCCTCGTAGTACTTGACCTGAGCCTTCTTGTGGCGCAGGAAGTTACGGATGGGCTCCATAATAGAGCGGTGCTCAATGGTACCGACGGTGCAGGAAGGGAGAAGCGGGGTGAAGAGGAAGTAGTTTCGGGGCGAGACGACGACGACATTGTAGTTTTCCGTGTCGAGCTTCTTGAGCAGGGAGACGGAGCCCCAGCCGGTACCTGTTCGGCATGGTCAGTCAGGTGCTCGCTGCCCAGATGGTGTTACATCGGCAGGCTACTCACCAAGGACGACAAGAGTCTTCTTGTTGGGGTCGGGCGGCGGCTGGTCAGCGGGGTTGCGAGTCTCGTAAATGCCGTATCCGATGTATGCTAGGCCGGCAAGGGCGGAGAGCTGGGTGAGGCGATACGACCAGCGTAGAAGGCGGAACCGCTTGGGCTTGGGGGCGCTTCCAGTTGACTGCTGGCGGACAGACTGGCGCAAGACAATCTGGTTCTGGGTAGGGCGGGGCGTCCATCGCGCTCTGCTGGCGATGAGTGACGGGCGGTTGGTGGTGAAGGTCCTGCGTCCGGCCTGCTGTACCTGCGACAGAACATTGGCAGCGGCGAGAGGTCTCATTGCGGGCGCCATTGGAAAATGCAGAGAGACCGTGGCAAGAGGCCACAGAGTCAATTGCAGGATGAGAAGGGGATAAGGATTGAAGAAAGGGCAGCGGAGGGCGAGGGGCGGGCAAGGCGCTGATGATAATGACTTGTGGTGGTGCCCTGGGAGTCAACTTTTTCTTAGCGATGACGAACGACCGGCGTACCGAGTCGCCTCGCACTGGCCCTTTGCTTGTGCGCCAAAAGATAAGCCTGTCGTCCCAATCACATCATTTGCTGCCCGCGCCCACGCATTCACACGCCCACCCTCCCGCGCGAACAATTGCTGCTTCTAGGCCTTGGGAATTATTTTCGTCCCTCGTCCCATCCCATCCCATCCCATCCTTAATCCCGCGTTCTTTGCAGTCGAATCGAGCCTGCGGATCCGGTCTCGCTTGCGTCCCGCCGCCGGCCCTCTCTCCTCCCCCCTCCTACACGCCCCAAAGGCAACTTTGATCAACCCGAAATCTTCCATGGCGACAAGCCACCCAGCATTTCCTTTTCTCGTGTTTTGTTCAGCGCGCCATGTCGTGCGACTCCGCTGGCCCGGTGGCAGATTGCCGAGCAGCATTTCCCACCGGGAAGGGTAGGGTTGGACTGTGTCCTCGGCGGCTGCGCTGTCTGTCAGCCTCAACGCCCTGCATTCCGTCGGGTGGGCCAAAACGAAGCAAGAATTTTGTGGACTACGGCCATTGTCCCCTGGCCGCCAGTGGGGTCTGCCATTCCTTTTCAATGCAATTACATTCAATAAATTTACCGGTGGTACATTTGCAACGCGTTCAAGACGCGGTACTTAAGTACAAGTGCATCGCTCTTGGCACTACTAACTACACAACACAAGCAATACATGTACCATGGTAAACCTACTTGATAGATTCTACCTTGAATCATGTCTCAACAAACTAACATGTATGCACGTGTATGTAGCTATAAGCTGGGAAACGCCAAGCAAGAATACTAGAAATGATGACGATGACCATCCCTCTACCCCCGCTCGCAGACTACTCGATACAGTTTAGGCCCCAGGATTCATAATACAACACATGTAGCGGACGCTGCGGATGTCAAGCAAAAGCAATAGGTCCCAGTAGCATATAAATTCACAGCTGTCTTACTTTGGAAACATCATACATCGCCATCTCCCAAATCTCCCAAGTACAAGTCCTTCCAACATGCCCCACGCAACCGCAACCGTAAACGGCGTCCTAGTCGCCGAAACAGACTCCTACGAAGTCGTCGACGGAAACATCTACGTTCGTCTCCCTCTACCACTCATAACAAAACCCCCTAAACTAACGTTATCCTTCTTTCCCCCATTACACAGTTCCCACCAAGCGCCATAAAAGAATCCCACTTCACCCCTACAAGCACAAAAACGCATTGCCCATACAAGGGCGAAGCAAGCTACTACACCATCACGACCAACAAGACCGAAGTCAAGGATGCAGCTTGGTACTACCCAGAGCCGCTGGAGAGCATGAATAAGATCAAGGGGTATGTCGCTTTTTACAAGCGGTCTGCGGAAATCAAGACCGAATAAAAGGGGAAACCACAAATCTAAAGAATAAAATATCCATTGTTCATTTAAAAAAAAAGACCCTTTTACCCAGGAAAGGCAGAACTAAAAAAAACATGTCAAGCTTCCGCAGAGGCTCTGATTTTCCTGTCAACTCCCATAGAAAAAACGCCATGAAAATGCTCGTAAAGACTTTGTCGTTAACCCAACAGAAACGAAAAGATGCGAGATGTTTCTTTAAGCATCAACACCCATCATAGTATCATCACCATCAACGCCCACACTCGGCTGCTCAATCATGACGCCTCTGCCCCTGCCCTGCAGCAACTCCCTCCGTACCTCCGCACTAATACTCCGGTGACCCCTCGTAAGCAGCAAGTCCAGCAACGCCTCCCTTTGATCCTCCGTGATGTCGTTTCTGTACCTCTGCGCAAACGCGAGCAAACACTGATGCCAAATCACCGGCAACTTGCCCGTGTTTCCCAAGTCGCCAGCTACGGATTCCGTATCCATGGCATCCGCACTACTGGCGCCTACACCGCGGAAACGAAGAAAGTGGAAGACGAGGGCGTCGATGACTTTGTAAGGTAGAGCGTATTTTTTCTCGAGGAGAGTCTTGATGAAGATGTTGCAGGGGCCTGCGGCGTCAGGGTCTGAGGACATTTGCTCGGCGGCGATCTCGCAGAGGCGGTGCAGGGCGGCGGCAGAATGGAGGACGGGGACGGAGATTTTGGACACGACCGAGGCGACGATGACGGCGTCGCGTTGCGTGCAGGAGATGTCTGTGAGCATGGGGAAGACGATACCCTTGAAGAAGGCGGAGGGCTTGTAGAGGGCCTTCTTCAGCGCGTTGTACAAGTGCACGTTTAGCTTGTGGGTTTCGCGGATGTTTTGTTGGACGAGTGGGAGGAGGATGGTATTGAGGAAGATTTGGGCGGTTTGAGGCTTTGCGGAGATGAAGATGCGGGTTGCTGCGTAGGTTGCGTTGGGGGTCCAGTCGTCAGGACGGGTAATGGCGACGAGGGTTTCCCAGGCGGGGATTGTAGGGAGGATCTTGAAGGGCTTAGGTAGCTTGCCGCTCTTGTAGCGGCTCAGGATGAGGCCGATCTTGGAGTACACTGTGTATACTTAGCAATGTGACGGAAAATGTAGATCGTATATCGTACCTTCCACAACCTTGGCGGGTAGTTCAATGGCGTCTTCTGGAGCACCACCGCCTTGAATCTCTGGGTGTTGCACTTCGCCTCCGGCCTCGTGTGCCGCAATCTTCTCGAGAATGAGTGCAGCCAGGTCTGTGCCTGGCCCTGAAGGTTGCGCTTCTTCGCCAGGCCATACAATTGGGTTGTCGTCAGTTGGGATGAACTTATTCCATGCTGCCAAGTCATTCGCATCAATCTCAACCTCCTCGACCTCCTCATCGTCGTCTCCCCACGCTTCGTCGTCATCCTCTGCGTGCACTACATCCCCCTCGACCATGTCATCTTCTCCCATGCGCGTCTCAAAATCAAAGGCAGGATTGGCCTCTTGTGGTCTCTTGGCCATGGTTTCTCGTGCATCCTCCTCTTCCAGCTCTCGTCCAATCTCCAAGATTTTGCGCGAGCTTTTGGAGTCTACATATTTTTGCTCGTCTTCCTCGTCCTTGTCGCCCTTGCTGCGCTTCTGTCGCTTTTGCGCCTTGTTTTTCCACGGGTCTGAGGGCGCATATTCTTCGGCTAGAGGGTTGTGTCGCTGGTCGCGCGCGCCAGGCGATTTGGGTGCTTTTGGCATGATGGGTTGATTCTGTCGAGTCGCAGAGGAGGACACTGTGAAAGAGACTGAAGTCTTTGCAGAATGGCGGAATATTACTCGGCGTGCTATTGGCGAGTCGGCTTGTGGAAATTTAGAAAAGTTGCAGCGGCGGCGGAACCAAAAATTTGGTGGGGGTTCGACTTTTGCGTCTAAACGGCCCGCCGTAGGAGCTGCACGTCTCCACTCGCCCATAGTCGCGACTTGGATTGACGACACCGCAATTGCGCCTCTACATTGTTTCCACCATGTCCGATTCACACCCTCCCTCACGCTCGAACACTCCCACAATCGTGCCCCCAATGCGGCGCCCGATTGAGGGAGACAATGCGCCCGCCGTCTCGTCTCCCCTCAACCCCAACCCCGATCCTGCGGCGCGTCCAAGACCAAAGGCGCCAGCACGCGAGCAGCGAGAGAAGCGCGAGACGATCAAGAAGCGTGAGGCTTCAGCTTCGGCGCGTCAGGGTACTCCAAATGCCAATACTAGCACAAAGTCGAAGAAAGAGCGGTCGACAGCCGATTCACCTATGAGGTATTCGATTCCCGAGCCCAGGCCGTCCGACTATGAAGCCCCCAAGGACAGCACCCTGCTCTCCCACGAGCCGAATCCCATGTATGCGCCAGACGGAGTGACAGAGCTCAAAAAGCCGCATGACATTGCCTGGAACAAGAGGGGCTACAAGTACACGCACTGTGTCGCCGATCCGCTTTTTCGTCACAAGCAGTACTACCGCCAGAGCGACTCCAGGCCGTACGGGCCGAGGATGAGCCATGAGGACTGTGACCGATGGTTCCACTTCGATAACAGTGCTACCATTGTTTCCCAAGAAAAGGGCTGGCGCATGGGCAGAGGCAATGTAGTTGCAAGAGAAGGCAGAATATACTACGAGGTCAAGGTTCTGCGTGGCATACCCGAGCATGGCCCCAAAGATCCCGTTGACCCAAACACCGGCGAGACCAAACCTGGCCCACATGTACGCATGGGTTGGGCACGGAGAGAGGCGCCTCTAGACGCACCTGTTGGTTTCGATGGCTACAGCTATGGCATCACTGACGCACGCTTTGAAGCCCAACACCGATCACGCGCCTCCAAGATTTTTAAGCCGCTACCAAAGAATGCCAAGAGCAAGCACATGAAGGCCAGGCCACCCCACGGCAAGCCTATGCCTGTCGAGTATGTTGTAGATCAGCATGTTCAAGAAGGCGACGTCATCGGCCTCGAGATCCAACTACCCTCCATATCTATGCACCGCAAAGTTGTTGAGGGCATCTACAACCCGGCCGTAGATCTAGGAGACGGATTTGATACCGTCAGCAATCAAGATCCATTCGACCGGCCTATCGACATCATCCGCGACCGTATACCAGTTCCCTACAAAGGCAACTTTTACTTTGAGCAACTGGACTACCAGGTCACTAAGATGGTTGAGGCCTATCACGACCGCGGCCCCGTTCCTAAGATACATCCTTCGCCAAACCATGAAGACGTCAGTGTGCGATCGCTGCCACATTCGCACATCAAAGTCTACAAGAACGGGCAGGAAGTGGGCATTGCATTTGAAAATCTTCTAGCCTTCCTTCCCCCAGCAAGTATGCCATCAGTCGAGGCAATCAAGGCTGGTGCGCGTCCAGGCTTTGACGATGGCATGGTAGGCTACTTCCCAGCTATCTCGCTGTTCAATGGGGGTGTCGCTCAGGTCAACTTCGGACCAGACTTCTGGTGTCCACCCGAGGAGATGGTCAAGCAGCGAGAGCAAGACACACAGATGGAAAATGGAGAGACAGTCGAGCAACGCGTCCCAGAGGGTCGCAGACTCCGTGCTATTGGTGAACGATACAAGGAGCAGATTGCTGAAGACATTGTTTGGGATATCATAGACGAAGTCGATTTCTTCACCCAAGACGGTGGATGGGACTACAAGGGCGAGGCTCCTCAGGACGTGACCGGCAAGTCTACGCCTCGGGCACGTGGCTTTGCGAATCCGGACGAAAACCTTGGTGTCGAGGTTGGCAAACGGTATTAATGGTATGATGATGAAGAACATTAGGAACGGTTGCGAAATGTTAGTTTCAGCAAGGCGCATAGGTATACCCGAATATCATTTGATACTTGCGAAAATCAGCATGTGGCCATGCAGAGCAGCTACGTATTTCACGCTGTCTTGTCATTATCTCGAGAGCGTTTTTTTCTCGTAACATGACCTAAGACTCATAGCCATGTCGTTCAGCTGGTACAACTACTGGAGCCTAGAGCATGAACTCACACACTGAGCCTAGTCGTACGCCCTACGCCCATCTCGCATGTGGCTACAATTCCGCATTTCGAGGATTTAACCTTTTGCGGTAATTAGCGCGGAATTACCGACATCGGCATTCGAGTACTTCACATCACTAATTGACTGATATCCACATGTTGGCGGAATTCCCTACAACTCTCTAGCCTATTTCTGATAGATACTTCTCGATATAAGAAGCGGCATCTGAATCTTTTTCTGTTGTTGTTTCTGCTTCCGTTGTCATATTTTATCAGACCGTCCAGTCTACCCCACGATGGATTCCTCACAGTTCCGAAAGGCGGCGAAAGGAGCCATTGACGAAAGTACGCATATCAGTCTTCATCTACAGCCGTGATTGACATCAATTAGTTGCACAATACTATGACACATTAGAGGAACGACCAGTCCTGCCCGCTGTCAAACCAGGCTATCTCCGCCCTCTCCTCCCATCCTCAACCCCAGAGGAAGGCGAGCCATGGGAAGCCATCCAAGCAGACATCGACCGCGTAATCATGCCGGGTCTCACGCACTGGCAATCACCCAAATTCATGGCATTCTTCCCCTGCAATTCCTCCTTCGAAGGCATGCTCGGTGAAATGTACAGCGGAGCCTTTAACGCCGCAGCCTTCAACTGGGTCTGCTCGCCTGCCATCACCGAGCTCGAAACCGTCGTCATGGACTGGGTCGCCAAGCTCATCGCTCTACCCAGTGACTTCCTCAGCGACGGCGAAGGCGGCGGCATCATCCAAGGCACCGCGAGCGAAGTCGTCCTCACCGCGCTCGTCGCCGCCCGCGAACGCATTATCCGCCGCAAGCTCGGCGACATGCCCGAGGGCGAAGAAAGACTCGATGCCGCAGCAGATATCCGCAGCAAACTCGTAGCCCTCGGTTCCGAACACGCGCATTCTTCAACCCAAAAAGCAGCAATCATTGCAGGAACCCGGTTCCGCACCGTTCCCGCACCGAAAGAATCAAATTACAGTGTCACCGCCGCCGCACTCCGCGGCACAATCGAAGCCTGCCGCGCAAAAGGCCTCGAGCCGTTTTACTTCACTATCACCCTCGGCAGCACGGGTACCTGCGCCATCGATGATCTTGCCGGCATCGCGCAGCTCGCGAAAGAGTACCCCGACCTCTGGATTCACGTCGACGCTGCATACGCCGGTTCCGCGCTCGTCTGTCCCGAATACCAGCATCTATGCCCCCCAATTGCATCGTTTGACTCGTTCAATTTCAATCTGCACAAGTGGCTTCTCGTGAACTTTGACTGCTCTGCTTTCTTTATTAAGAAGCGGAAAGATCTCATGGATACCTATTCCATTACCCCGAGTTACCTGCGGAATCCGCACTCAGATCAGGGTCTCGTGACTGATTACCGCGACTGGCAGATTCCGCTGGGTCGCCGGTTTCGTAGCTTGAAAGTGTGGTTTGTGCTCCGGAGCTACGGAGTCTCGGGTCTGAGGGCGTTTATACGCAAGCATATTGAGTTGGGTGTGTATTTCCAGAGTTTGCTGGACGGACGGAAAGATCTTTTCAAGGTGGAGACTGAGGCGGCGTTTGGGCTCGTGACTTTTCAGATTAAGCCAAAGGTGGAGACTGGTGCGCAAGATGGGAGTGCGGCGAATCGCCCGGATCCGAGGCATGGGGCGCTGCAGAATGCGTTCCAGGGTGATGCTGAGGCGCAGTATGCTGAGATGGTTAATCAGCGGACAAAGGAGGTGTATGAGAGGGTGAATAGTAAGGGGGATTTCTTTTTGACTAGTTCGGTGATTGGGGGGAGATATCTCATTCGGGTTGTTAGTGCGACGACTAAGAGTGAGGAGAAGTGGATGATGATGCTTTTTGAGGAGTTGGTGGAGATTGCTGAGGAGAAGACGGCATGAGAGTGGTTAGATATGTTGTGATTAAGCTAGTAGTGAAAGCATAGACATGGGCTCCCTCTTATCTATTGCAATGTAAATGTAGTCAACCAAGTTCGAACATGGTTGGGATCGCTTTAATACGAGCTTCAGATACTAATCAGAGTCCATATTTTTTATTTCTTTACAATATTTGAATACATCTGCACACCAGGTATCTTATAACTCTCGCGTGGAAAATGTCACTGTAGATGGTGAAATTATCAGTCAAGCCTCAGTATCCGGACTGCGTTGCCACCCAGAACATCTTGAGCTTTCTTGTCATCCGTGGCAAACGCTTTCGATATAGCGCCGTAATTCGCGTTGACGCTGTGCCACTCCTTTGCATCTTCTTCAAGCGGCGGGAAGAACGGGTGATCGGTACCTATCCACTGTTAGTCTCGCGTCGCAGCAATACAACAACTTAATCACTTACCGAAAAGCAGCCTGTCTGACCCTGACGCATCTAGTGCTGCCTTCAATCCCACTTCCGAGTAGATGACTGCATCAAGGTAGATGTTCGTCTTCAGTATGTCCCACACGTCTCTCCTATTCTGGGTCTTGCCATGCTTCTTCAGATGTCCATCATGCAAAATGCAAGACTCGATCCTTCCAGCCAAAAACGGCAATGTACCTCCTGAATGCGCAAGCAATACGCTGAGCTTTGTGAACCGGTCCCAGACTCCGCTCAAGAGCATCCTGCTTACTGCAATGGTGGTCTCGAGGGGGAACCCAAGTGCTAATGGCAGTACATGCCCGTATTCGCTCGCACGGGGACCATAGACTGAGGCAGGAAGACCGTAGTGGGGGTGTAGGAAAACAAGTTGCTGGTGCTTCTCGAGCGCTGCATATACCGGGTCGAGCTCCGCATCATCTAGTCCCTGTCCCAGACCCGACGTGCCCATGATAACACCCCTAGCGTACTTGAGGGTGCTCAATCTCTCAATCTCAGCGGTTATAACCTCAGGTGAGGCAGATAGAGGAAGTGTGCCGAAGAAGTACAGTCGTCCGGGATATTGTGAGCATTGGTCGTTGACGTCGTCGTTGATCTTCTTGGCCGCCTCTCCCGCCTCCTCTGCAGGTAAAAAGTCCAGCCATGGATTCGCCAGCGAAATGACTGATTTGTCAATCTTGTGAAGGTCCATAAACGCTATCTTCTCCTTGATCTCATAGTATTCTTGGCCAATTGGGCGACCGCGTGAGGTGGACGGCATTGAGGGGTCATCTTCGCCTGGCAGGATGATCAGACGGGCAGAGTCCGGGGCGTCTGGGAATGTGCGAACATATGGAACGGTTGAGCGCGAGCGCAAAAGTTCCATGTATTTTGGGGGGTAAACATGGGTGTGGATGTCGACAATCGGCATGGTTGCGATTGAAAACGCGTTTGTGCGCGTCAATTACTGGGAATACGATGAGTGAGCAATGGGCCTTTCGTGTAGAATGTGACGAAGAGAATAAACGAAGTTTTGGGCTAATTCATCATCTTGCATTCGAGATAGCGCTGGACAATTGACCCTGGTGGGGTAGCTTTGGGTTGCCCCACTACATAGCGCCGACCATCCCACCTTCCCCAAGAGGCAAGGAACGATGGAGTCACTTTTTATGCTGTTGACGGAGATGGCCGTAGGGGAATTGGTCATTTTGGGTTGTCGTGATAAACCAAATGTCTACGTATTTACAAAAGGGGTCTCCAGTCTTTCATTCAAGCAGCACTCAATAGCATACGTTCATCCTATCAGGCGCGAGTCCTCAAGAAGAGGTTCGCTGGTTTGTCCCATGTTTTGAACTCTTCATCCACCTCATATTGGATATCGCCAGTCCCTTCGTCCTTGAATCCTAGTCTCTGGTATACCATTCTTCCCATAGCACTGCCCTCAGTTGTACACTCTAGATCGCCTCTCTTCTTCGCTTCAGCAAGTCCGACTTCAACAAGCTTCGCTGCAATGCCGCGGCGTTGGTAGGCTGGATCAACTGCACATATGTCCAAAGTAAAAATGGCAGGTGGGTTGCGTCCTGACTCCCTGACTTCGTGCATATACGCGATGCGGCGTTTCCAAAGCGAGCGGAACATTTGGGTTGCAAAGCGTCGTTTCGTTTCGTCGAAGTTGTTCAGGGATGCACTCATGTCGTCGGAGAAAGGATCGCCATAGCCTTCTACAAACGACAGTTGCCTCCATATAGCCATACCAACAACTCGTCTCTCTCCAGGCTGATCTGGGTCGGGAAGGGTAGCTTTTAGATAGATGGCATTGGGCAGTCCATCTTTGTTGGTAGTGACGAACTGCCATTTTTCCATTAAACTTTTAGCGTGTTTGGCTTGTCCTTCTTCTGTATCCCACCCGGGGTTCATCAGCATCCAGACAGAATCTTTTGCTTGACGCCCAAAAGCTTCAGACAAGCAATATTGTGCCTGCTTGAAATCCTTTTCAGTCTCGAAAGGAGATATGACAACGTCATTGCTGTTGGAAGTCATGTTGAGGGTAGCGCAGAAGTTGTGTCTGTCGTATCGCGTTCGAGCCAGAGTGTTGAAAATAATGATAGAATTTTACGTGTTTTCAAGTCGGCAGATGGAACAGCCAAAATCAAGCTGCGATCTAATGACATAACCTAAAGCCGCGGGTCACACCCGTACCCGGTGGGGACGCTTGGCGGGGTATCTTGACGTCCATAATATGCCTAGTGGACGCTGTGGATGTAGAAATACACGGTCAATCTGCTGTAAACATGGTTTGAAGCATCCAAGGTTCAGCCATACCAGCCCACCAACACTATCTGGCGTCCATGGTCATGGTTAGCAGCTCGATTAGATTTGCAGGAAAACGAGTATAGAAAACACTTGGATATCAGTAA